CTAATGAACACTATTTACATTGTCGAAAACGAGGTTCTCAGTTTGCTGCCGCAGATCATGCTGATTTTGAAGAGATTTAATAAGTAGAGTATTTTGTTGTTGGGATTTCCTTAAAAAAAACTTGATTGATATGCTTATAATATCTCGTTAGATCCATCAAGTGGAATTTTTCTCATCTTCAAGCATTTTCATATCGTGTGGTGAATGATCACCAAAATGGACATGCGATATAGGATGTTATGAGTCAACTTTTTTTTACGAGTTTTTCGTTGTCTGATGACATTGGTTCTTCATAGTTTATTTCGACCCTACGAAAGTTAAAAGAAGAAATAGTTGATCATTTCGTATTCATTATTGGTTGTATAATTATATCAAGAAGAATGTCACTGTTCTAACTAGGTCAGTTACAATATCTTTCTAAGAAAGATTTTGCCAATGATTCAGAGAAGAAACACTTTGATAGAATCGATGAAACAATTTTCATGATGAAAAAATCACTGAAAGGACACTACAACGCTAAAAACGTGTTCGATTCTCTGCTGAAAGAAAGATCGGAGCAAATCATGAAGAACTTTTTCGAAGAAAAAACGTGATTTAGATTAGATTTGCCGAGTTATTCTCAAAAATCACACATAAAAGAATGGAAGAGGTTCGGAAAATTAAAAAGAATCATGTTTATCTATGTTTCACTCGATCAGTATGAGAACAAATTAATTTGATTACGCGATGACACTTCAAGCATTCTTTTTGTCTAATCCATAATAGAAACACCTTATCCGTTGATGAATTTTTATTGAACTTTTTCTATTAAGAATGCATTATTCATAATTTTCAAGTCTTTGTATATTACAAAAATAGATAGAAAATGTAAAAGTAGTTAACAGTTGATCTGTTTTCAAATAGAAAAAAATCATTTGATATTGTTTATCTTCAATCTTTAGACAATTGATGGATATCTTCGACACATTATCGTCAGTATTGATGCTCTCCTTCAATGTAGTAGGAATTAGTTTTGCTCTTCTTTTCATTGGGGTGGTAATTTTTTATCGTCGGTGTCACAAAATAACCATACTTCTGGCATTGAACTCAGTTGTGGCTGGATTAATGATCAATATAACATGTGCTTGTCAAGCTGTTTATCAACTGATCGGTGATGCAAATGATCCTCTATGTTCATTTCGTGGTTTTTTGCTTCATGGTTTAAGTGGTCTTCTGTATCATACACTTTGTGTCCAAGCTCTTCATCGTCTCTTTGTCAATGTATTTGCAGCACATCGGTTTCTTCAATCAAAACAGTTTATTGTGATTGTCGTTTTTGTTCAATGGGTGTTTTCCAATACTTTCGGCCTTCCTATATTTCTTTCTGGGCGAATTCACTATCAAGCTGGCAGTCGGATATGTTTGGTAAGCATCTGAAATGTTATTGTCAAAATCATTCCAAATCAATAACAGACAATATGTATACTTTCAGTTCCGTCTCATTTATAAAAACACTATTTTTTGAAACGTAGACCATTAAAATTGTAATACAGATAGAGATCCAGCGCGACTTCAGATGACTACTTCAGAATTGAACAACAGAACTTGTTTTAATTGTTTCTATTTAGTGAAATGGCGATCGTGAATTTAAGTGACTTTACTGGATGCATAAACGTGAAAGAGTTGTCTCGCTATGCAAGATCGCACTATTCAAGAGTGATCTGTCAGGAATGTTAAGTTTTCATCATATCGAGCTTATTTTTCACGCTGAGATATGTCAGTTGAATTGAGAATGATAATATCAGTATTAAGTCCTATTCGAAATTGGCCAGAGGATAGCAGAAGAAGAGCACAGGAAAAGTCTCTGATCATGAATTCGATCTCACTTGAATTCCGAGTGTTTAATTGTCCTGTATTCTTGTTTTTAGGTATCAATCCACGATATCTATGGTTTCTTGTACTTAGCAACATGGATTTATTTCATTCCACTGCCGTTGCTTATGTTGAGCTACGCATTGATCGTTCGACATGTGAAATATAATTCATTTTCGAACACCAATCGTCCAATTCTTTTTCAAAGGTATCGGCAACAACGTGAAGTGCTTCTTCTTCGTCGGATATTGACATTGGTTGCCGTACTTTTCATTCTGGGTTTTCCATATAGTGTGTTTTGGCTACGTTCGTGGATCACTGGATCAGCACCATCCTATGCCGAAAGAGTCAGTTTCATCTTCATTTCTTTCGGATACGGAGGGAGTATGTTACTCACTGTCATCAATACAGATGAAGTGAGAAAAATCTTCAGCAGTCTTTTAAATAAGACCTATCAAAGAAGAAGAACACGACGAGTACAGTGTATTACTGCCACCAATCCTCGTACTATTCAAACAAATGATCCACGTCATATGTAAAGAATCTATCTTTGAGTGTTGTCCGTTTCGAATCAATCGTCGAACTTTCATATTGATATAGATTCAGTTTTCTGAAGTGAGTTTTTTTTATTCACAACAATACAATGAAACTACTGTCTGGAATGGCGTAGTGATTCTATGTATCTGATTGTTGGTCAGATACTAGAGCATTCGATCTTTTCCCTCGGCACAGTGTCTTCGATTTCAAGACATGCAGTAATGGAAGAACAGCAATTCATGTCAATGATGTCGTCACTGCCTTGATTTCGTTTTGTTTCTTTTTTCTCTTCCTTGTAATTCTTTCTTCGTTTATCATCGTTGTCTTGTCTTTTGACTCTTATCTTTCATAAGCATCCGAAAAAATTATACAAAAAAACCACAAAAAAATGTATGTATGTCACGAATAAAATTACAGCATAATCACAATGGTGAACTTGTTTTCATAGTTGACACTCGATTTGAAACTCATCTCATAACTGTATTGAAAAACGTAGAATGTATGACGACATACAGGCAAGAAAAAAAACCATGCAACCCTTCATTATGGCAAACGTAATCGAGTGGAAGAGCTGAATCACTATTCAAATATCAAGCATTCATTTTTCATATAAAAATCTTACATAATCATAAAGAACTAGAATGATTGAAAATTCAGTAATAAACACACTAGGTTGGACATGGATGCCAAAGATACAAGAGTAAAAAGAGGTTGTTACGTCGTGCGCCATTGATCTTATCTATATTCTTTTGTTTCTAAACAAGATAAAGTCATATAAGAATCATAGGATACATTTCTTTGTGCAATCATCAATTGAAGTAACAAGAGATGCCAACGATTACGGTATACAGCAAAATCTTCGACACATTGCTTGGCACTATATGATATTGTACAATCTGATCGACATAAACGTCTTTCACAGTTAGTTTCAGTTTGTTGAAATCATTGTATGGTTAGACCGATTTCTGAAATTTGTTTATCCGATCGATCCAGACATGTGATGTCAGAATGACCAAAAATCGAAAACTGTTTCAGGACACATAAATCCTTCTAACATCGATACTTATTTTTATCGCACTCGTTTACTTCTCAATCGAAGCACTGTTTGATCAGTTCTGCCATTGAGACAATCTATTTGATCATTCTAAATCTCACGTCAAACAAGACATCTAAATGAATCACCACGATTACATTCGAGATAAATATCACATGTGAGATCAGAAATTATATGAGTTATACAATTGAAAAAGAGGATGCGTGTGGGCATCGGTGCAAGTGAGCGAAGTTGTAAATAGGGGTGGCACTTTATTTTTACTTTACCCAGTAAAGTTAGCCTACTTTACTCGAAAAGTAAAGTGAATTCTCTTATTTTACCAAAAAAGTTAGATGACGTAATATAAGATAAAGTAAAACATGCAGTTGATGATTACTGATTTATTAGTCCATTGTCACACATTAATCACATTCTAATAGTCAAAACTTGTGTCGAATTATGGACCGAGAGCCCCGAAGAATCTGAATCTATTTTCAATACCTTGAGGATATGGGTGTGAAGTGTTGAGGGTGTGGATGTGGTTGTGGGTGTGGGTGTGTGGGTGTGGGTGTGGGTGGGTGTGGGTGTGGGTGTGGGTGTGTGTGGGTGTGGGTGTGG